TTTGCTTGAGAAAAATCCCTGACATCACTGCTTGCCATGCCATACCGGGTTCGATCACCAGCCAAGATGTGAACATTTTAAAAAGTCACTAATTTCAGGCTGTACCCAGCCGATCCTGGGGGTGCCTGAGGTTGGCACATTTTGAAATCTGCATTTGCCTCTTCAGTCATAATGAGCTTTTGGATAGTATATCTTTAAATTCATCTTTCACTTAGCAGAAGTTATTAGAAATTCCTAATATATAACGAAATTGAAGAAGAAATGTAGGTTAAACTGAAATAATCTGACAGGACAAAAATAATGGTTTGCCCAGTATATTTTTGTTCCAATGAATTTCAAAATTTCCAGCTACAAGTAGCAAATAATCTAGAAACTGTTTGATTTGGTTTGGTTCGTTTAGTTAGCCTCTTTTGGCGCTGCTAGTCATCCGCCAATAGAACACTAGCGCATATATCGTAACTGACTCCTTGCTTAAATGACATGTCTATTTACCAAAACGGATATGCATTAGGGCTCGGAATCTCTCTCTAAATAAGACGAACGGATAAAAAAGTCTCTTTGGCGGCACACTAATTGTAACACCGCGCAAAAGTTGATGTCGCGAGTCACCAGAACTCAAACACGTAATTTTATATTCATTTGCTGGAGGGTAAATAATTATTTTCATTTGCTTGTAAATATATAAATATTTGTTTAAATGCTTGTAGAATATGAACAACCTATTTTATAAAAGTATACAAAGTGCATATAAAGATATTTGCACCTTGTGAGTTTGATAATGTTGGTGTATTCCAGTATTCGAATTTTCGAGTTATGACTAGACATAATTATTCGCTTTTTGAATATTGGAATACTCGAAGTGTTCGAGTTTGATTCCCAGCCCTAATACCTAATACCTACCCGTTTTGGTAAATAGAAGTTTGTTTTGATTAATGGAACCTCAAACTGATTTGCGCATGTCATTTAAGCAAGGAGTCAGTGAGGATATATGCGCTAGTCAATAGGACAACTCATTATACAATGAATCAAGGTAGGATATTGCGTCGATTTGCGTGACGTCAGTAGAAGTCACTGCGTGTCGTGATTTTTTCCTGTCTGCTAAATGTGATTACATATAGCTTATTTAGTCTTTGTCACATTTAATTATTTTTTTACAAATCTTCTTTATAATTACAAAATGCTTTGCAGCAGGTCTTAAACTTGAAAATGAAAAGTAACAAAAAAATGTATTTTGTAGGCTAGCATAGTTGCCAGATGTGCCATAAAGTATAGCGTTTGCTTTTGGCAAGTTCCCTAAAAGTTCGAATTGCAAATTCCTCTCATAATCATCATTTTCGAAATGCTGAGAGCATATTCTGACGAAGGTAACATTAATGGTATCCGCACGACAAGTATTCTCCCATAGCTTGAACACTTTCAACAGTAAACTTTCCACCTACCAAACGCAAAATGCTCAGTTGTTTGTCTACAAGATTCCCAAACACGCCCAAACGCATTCACCCCATGATTCAATGAATTCATTGAATGATACAATGAATTAATTGTTTCGTTTGGCTCTACCCGATTTTACTATTACTACCGTATTCATTGTATGTTTCTCGGAAACAAAATGAGCATGAACGCTCGTTTTTACATCATTCCAGAGCCATAGAATTCGTTTTGGCATCGTTGGATAGAGAATTTAAAAGTCGATTTAGTCGTAACAACGTTAGTGAGGAAATTCGAGTAGTTTTGAGCCAGAAAGCCGAAATTTGAATATCAAACACTTAGGTTCAAGATTATGCCAAAATTTGATGTTTTCCGTCCCGTTTTTGCTCATATCTCGGAGGCAAAATGAGCAAGAACGCTCATGTGTACATCATTCTAGACAAAAATAAATGGCCTTTTTAGAAAGTAAACCATGGATGGGGAAATGTTGGCAGTTTTCTCAAAAAATGCTTGAATTCAAGAAGTTTTAGATTTGCGTGGTTTTTTTTGAGTTGCCAAATCCACTTGAAGATGACGCTGCTTTTTTCGAAGTTTCTCAAGAACCATTCGAGCCACAGAATTCGTTTTGGCATCGTTGGATAGAGAATTGAATGGGGGGGGTCATGACCCCCATGACCCCCCAATGGATCCGCCCTTGATCATGAGGACAAGTGTCTATATTTTGGCTTTATCCCTAGTGTCTACCAGGCGCTAAGATGGTCGGATAGTCGGATAACTTCTTTAGGTAATCGAGAAAAATCGAGCCCAGGGTATCAGATCGGGCTATTTCAAGGTGATAATTTTTCCTTCAACATTAAATTATTTAAAATATCAAAGGAGTGTGTTTTTAGTGTTGCAACACTAGAGGAAACTTAATAAGACACGCATGACTCTTTGGAAAATTGTTGGGTTTGCTGTTTTGTAACCAAAAAGCTCCTTATTTGTCCAGAACATAACGCTGCAAAACCAAACTTTAAATTCAGATCAAATATCGCTTATTATAATATATTCGCTATTATAAAGTTGCTGATTTGTCTAAATATTTAAAGCCGCTTTTTCAATTTAAAATATTTTGTTGGTATTTTGCTCTTCAAACTTTTATTTCACGCTTCGAAACTGCTGTAAAGAAACAAGTGTGTAATATTAATTGTCTACAATTTCAGCATTAAACGATTTTTAAAATGAAAACTTGTCAATTATTCACTGAAACAGAACTATGAAACACGTAAGTTTGGTTTGTTTATTAAAGGAATCCAAATGTGGAAACGAAACACAAAGCATTTGTAAAAAAAATTGCAAAACTTCCCGGCAGGGTTTGCCAACATGTTCATATCTTAGTAGCTTTTAAAATTTAGAAACAAGCTCTGATGAAAACTATCGGTCATTTTTAGAGTATGAATATTTAATCGATGATAATTATGAAAAATCTACTGCTTTTAGACAGAAGTGGGCAATATTTTAAACGTGAGTGTGCAAATGTCTACAGCGGTTTTTTCAGCCAGTTCATACTCGGGCGGCTCAAAAAAATCAGAAAATCCTCGGATTTTACTGAAATTTCGTTTTTGAAGAGTTGACTTCTGCTGCAGTCCGTAAGGAAAATATAAAAAATCTACTGCATTTGGACAGAAATGGGCAATTTTTTAAACGTGAGTGTGCAAGTGTCTTCAGCGCCTATTTTGCCGGTTCATACTCGGGCGACTCTAAAAAATCAGAAAATTCTCAGGTGTTACTGAAATTTCATTTGTGAAGAGCTGAATCCTTCCGCAGTCTGTAGCAAAAATATGAAAAATCTGCTGCATTTGGACAGGAATGGGCAATTTTTTAAACGTGAGTGTGCAAGTGTCTTCAGCGCCTATTTCGCCAGTTCATACTCGGACGACTCTAAAAAAATCAGGAAATCCTCAGGTTTTACTGAAATTTCATTTGCGAAGAGTATAATCCTTCTGCAGTCTGACATACATACATACATTTTCTTTTATAATAGTTATAATGATTTCTGTTTTTTGTTTAGAACACTTCAATCTATCTATATTCCACAATGCGTATGATAATGTTAACGTTTTGATTTTTGTTTTGCCGAAAAACAAAACAGTATTCCACAATCGGCTACTTTACTCTACATATTCGTGACAAAAATTGAACAAAAATGAAAAATTCGGTAGTTCAACGTCGTTCTAAGTGGCTAATTAACCAACAGTTCCAGTAAAAATCAATCATACTTTAAAGAATATTTTGCACACCCATTTTTTTTATTAAAATGTTCTAAATAGCGCGTGTTCTGTTTGTAGCGTGTTTTGCTTATTGCGCTAGTCGCGATAATAATTATTTTCTCCCATCATCTTCTTTTTAAATGTTGCCAAGTAAACGGTTGTCTTTATGTGAATTTTGTCACATCACAACATATACGGATTTCAGAAATAACTTCAGTCAAACAACAGTGGATTTAAAAAAGATAAAACATTGCCGAAAATCGTCAATTTTCAAAATTCAAATTACTTAAACGGTGTATTTATCTTTACTTTCAGAGCAAAAGTTTTCATTTCCAGAACGGACAGCAATATGAATTCGTGTTTTTTTTATTTCGAAAGGTATACGTAACTCGGAAATAAACTCAGCTCAACTCATCTATTCTGATTTTTTAAGCCGAAGACTGTATTTATTTGGTAACTTTGTCGCAGCGGGTTAACTGAGCATAGGAAAATGAAGCACATGAGTGACTACTTAAATGTACTTTATTTATACAATATGCATAAAGTGCCAAACATAAATAGACACAATTCTTCCGCCACTATCTACAATAAATCTGTACATAAAGAATAAAAGAAGAAGTTGATAAATATAGAAGTACACACTAGATGAAACTCAATAAAAAAGTTTTACTCATTAGAATTACATTATATTACAAAAAACTTGTGTGATTAAAAGTACAATACATTTTTTCGACTCCTGAACTGACTTAAATCCTAATATCACAAAGAACAATTCATTTCAATATTTAAATGAAATCATTTGAAACAACTCTTCAAATAATTTCTTAAAATGTTCAAAATATAATTGTAGGTAATCACAAAGATTTAGTCGGGTACACTTATGCCTACGTATGAGATCTGGAGATGGAAACTAATCAATAATTAAATATTTTTAACATAATGTTATATAATACACTGTACAGCCCTTCCAATCAACTACTATAGGAACGCACAAACATGACAAACATTTCGGAAAGACTAATACACTTACAGACAAAATGGACAAACAACCGCCACAACTGGACCATACTGAATCCCCTTTGCCTCACACGGCCGACAAAATACTCCCGTTTTCGTTCCCCAACAGATACTTTACTAGAACACTTATAACTTCAACTGAACTAAGGACTAAGATCTGTTTGTTTTGTAAGCCAAGAATTTTTTTTATCGCTCATTGGTTTATACGAGTGTTAGGAATAGGAATTAATTTTAGAATAAGCTAGGCTAAGAAACATATGTACTAAACAAGGGCAGAAAGACCGATCATCAGAAACACCAAAAAAAAACTATTTTTTATTGTTACGCTCAACAAAATTATATATCTTTACTTATTTATTGATTTTTTTAATTATTTAAGATTAGGAATTTAAGATCTAATATCACAGTGTTGAATGAGAGCCAACTAAAAGGTAAACTATGCCACAGTACGGTGAACCATTTGATTGAACCCTAGGGGTCCCTGAAAGAAGTTCATATTCATAGCTTGCCTGTCCAAAGAGCTCTCAAAATACCTGGTAGGAAATTGAGTGATTGGAGTTGGACGCACAACAGGAGCTGGTCCATTTCCCACATAAGGTCCCATGTAGGGCCCAAAGGGGTAAAACTGTGGGGACATCAGCGGCAACGTGTTGCACATGGAAAAACTTCTCCTAAATGCTGCCAATCGTGCTTTCGATGCTGGAGAGGATCGTCTTCTCAACTTTCCAGTCGAATCCCCGATGAATACGTCATCGGCTGAAGGGTCCAACATCCAGTAGTTGCCTTTGCCAGGATCGTCGTAACTTCTTGGCACTTTCACGAAACATTTGTTCAAGCTGAGGTTGTGCCTGATCGAGTTCTGCCAGCCCTGCTTATTGTTGCGGTAATACGGAAAGTTCTTCATGATGTACTCGTAAATTCCATTGAGGGTAAGTCGTTTTTCTGGTGAATTCCTGATCGCCATCATGATGAGGGCGTTGTAACTAAACGTCGGCTTTTCGGCTGATTTGCCTTTGAGTTCGGATTTCGAACAGTCTAAAGGCGAACTGTCACAGTCGCCGTTCTCCCCGATAATATCGAGTTCACTTTCACAATCACCGATCGAACCACCCTCAGGCGATGAAACGCGAAAATTTAAGTTCAGATCTGCAGGAACTTTGGCCTTTTCTGAAGGAATTTTGGCCAAAATCGCTTCAATCGAAAAATCGGAATGGGTGTTCTGTGTTCTCGGCGACATAACTTACACGATACTCGTTTTGTACTAAGAGATATTCCAAACTTGAGTAGGGTTTTATAACACAGACTAGAGAAGGGGACGTTATTCTCCTACCATTTTTCCAACCAATCAGACGCTGCCAATGGGCTTTCGGTTCTCAATGTTGCCGCCCACTGTCGATTTCTATGTTTGCTTATTCAGAGGATTTTTGTTTATTTTGCAACTGCTTTCGAAATGTTTCGCAACAGGGGGTGGAAACATGTGTGAAAACTACTAGTTTGTTCTCCAATTAAGTTCCATATTTTCGTTTCGTGCGCTCTTGTTTCCTAAATAATTGTAACAATTTTCTTGATACAAACAAAGACGTGAAATTTACTTAAAAATAATTTTAATTTTTGGTTTCTTAACTATAGACCATTGAAAGTTGTCACTGTTCATAGTGTTCATGATGTTAGGTACGTACTTCGCTTATATGGATAAACTTAGGTAATTAATTTTCAAAAATTGGGGCCTCGATGATGTTTAAATACATCTTGTGTGGTTTTGCGCAAAACTGGGTTTGAAAGAATTTTCCGTTCATAATTGTGAACATTTTTATCTAAATAATTTTTATCGGGTTTTGCAAAGAGGACTGAAAATCATTCTGAATTCAACTGAAAAAGTTCTTCACTTCATTGCAGGGTGAAATCTTAAAATCCATCCAAATTCTTTGGTAAAAGACGAATAGGCATAAGTAGGTACCAATACTACCAATTTTGTATAGGTATTTTTTTTGCGGAATACTACTAAGGAATTCCAAATATAAATGCTAGATGCTCCTTTTTAGACTTCAGTAAATGAACTTCAAAAAATAACACCTAAAATCCATATCGACATCAGTCACAAAACTGTTTAGTTTTGAATTTTAGAGGAGTTTAATTTTAAGAAAATCAAAAGTTGTTTAGTTACTTATTTGGATCTGCGCATGTTTTGAACAACATGCTCAACGTTTAGAAAAGTTCTCTTCAGTTGACAATTCGTATATCTAAAATAAAAATACGAAAAATTGCAAAAGGAATCTGAAGTTATCCAAAACAAATTTAACTGAAGTTTTGTTAGAATTGAGTATTTTTTTAACGTTCAACAAAAATATTGAGTTTTATTCAAAACCATCTAAATTCATTTTAACCGGCAATCTTTTTATTGAAAAAGAAACACGTTTTACAAAAAATGATACAATTTACTTAAATCCACTCATAAGTTTAGACAAAACTTGTCTATTGATTTGAGTTTCAACTAACTAAAACTTACCCACATTATTGAAATATCAAAGAAAAACGTTGGGCAACGATTAATGTAACGTTTTGGAAACGTATAAGAAGTTGTTTTTTTTTTCGTAGTTCGTATCTTGGCTTTTTCGCGGAACCGTTGTCGGTTGTCGAGAATTTTGAAAAAGACTGTAAATTTTTTTTGAGAAGCCATATATTTTTTTAATTTCAACAAATTAAATCCGCTACATTTATAATTTATCACAGTAACTATATTTTTCCTTTCTTGGGTTTCGATCAAAGTGTGAAATAAAAATGTTTATTATTTTTTTAATATATCTAATAGCAATTACACGCCAGTCAGGAAAATTAATAAAAATAAAAAATATATATATCACAGTAACTTCAGACTTCTAAATCTTCTTCTTCAGACATCTAAATTGCCTTTAAGATAGCAGCTTGAGGAACCAAATTCTTGATCAACTTCCATTTACTAAGTTACCGTAGAAAGCTTAATTCAAAAAATTTTAAATGATAATCAACTGCAAATAAACTAAAAATCAAATTGCTGATAAATTGGTAGTATTTTTTATTTTTATTTATTTTTTTTTACAAACTGCTTGCTGGGTATTTCGCCTCAAAAATTGTTGTCTTTAAAAGTCAGAATTTCCTCACGTCTTTTATTACAGATTGATAAATAGTACTCTTGTTTCGCAATAAGAACGAATTATTTTTCAAACAGTAATCAAGAAATATCACCTAGAGGGTATCCTGCGACACACTTAGAAAATTTCAATTAGTAAAGAAATTAATTTGCAGAATTACCTTGACGTTTTGCTAGGTATTTTCTGCTATCGTTATGAAAAGAACCTAAATGAACCTAAAAACAGTATGTTAATAAATTGTGTAACAATACCCACATAGCAAAATGATATTCCCAGAATATACCTGGAACATTCATGTGATGTACATGCATATTCCTGGGCGATACATGAGTTCCATTATGAACATTCCATGTATGTCGCAGGAATCTGTCAGAGTTAATCCACTGAATGTTCATGGTATGTTCAGGGAATATACATGGTAGTATGTTCAGTGAATGTACATGTGTATTTTCTGGGAATGTACATGGTATGTTCAGTGAATGTACATGTGTATGTTCAGTGAATATACATACATATATGTGACGAAAGAAAAACGATCCTTTATCTCATCTTATTAGTTTTCTCACATATTTAAGTATTTACTGTTGTTGTAATTTTTCAACAAGAGTTACTTACAACTAATCTAAAACTAATTCAATGGATTAAAGGCTTAAAGTAGCAACAACGCTACACATAAAAACTGATGATGGTGGAAAACACCGAAACGTATTTTAATTGATAATTAGAGACAATAAATGACTGAAGCCCAGGAATTGATTTTGATTTGGAATTGAAACACAGTCAGGAAAGTATGTACTAGACATAATTATTCGCTTTTTGAATATTCGAATACTCGAATTGTTCGAGTTTGATTCCGAGCCCTAATACCTAATACATACCCGTTTTGGTAAATAGAAGTTTGTTTTGATTAATGGAACCTCAAACTGACTTGCGCATGTCATTTAAGCAAGGAGTCAGCTACGATATATGCGCTAGTAAAGACAAGCAGCAGTTGTCTTCTGTCTCCAATGTCAATCATGGAAAAGTGCTGAATTGTCACACCTCGGATATCACATCACTGATAAACCGATATTGACAAAATCTAAATTTTGTGTTGCTTAGAAAGACAGTATTCTAGTAACTAATAAATCTACAACCATATAAATAATTTAAAAAATCACGATTTATGTAATAGCACATAATAATTTGTTTATGCCAATAAACAGTAAATTATAAGCTTTGTAGCTTTTCAGAAGTTCTGAGAGCTTTGGCGTTACCGCCAAGCAGCACTGCGTGAAAGATGATTCTCATTGGTCCGCTCTGATTGTCACTCTCGAATGTCACGTAATCCGTGTACACTAAGCGGGTAATTTGAATTTGTAATATGCATTTTAATTATTTGGATTTTATAGGGTGGGAACTGTTATCTCCGGATAAATTTATTTGAGTAATATAGAAATTTTATTAATATTGACCAATAAAATAATACGCATTTAAAAAGAAAAGTTCGTATAAACACTATCCGAAACAGGTTACGTCATGTTCTACCACAGAGTGCATTACAACCTTTTCCACGTTTCCACGTGCTCTCAAATACCAGTTTTATCCAGATTGCCCTGGCCATCCAATCCACAATTTCAGTGGTAAGACTATCCACTCGGGAACCTAAACGCAGCTGAAGATATTTCTGGAAAAAGCCAATCGAGTGGAAAATTTAAACCAGCAGGCAAAATGGTCTCTTGTCGATGGTTGTAATCACAGAACAACCCAAGAAATCAAATAAACCAGGCTCAACAAAAAAAACCAAAAGCACCTAAACCCAAAACTGCAAAATCGCCGAGCATAACAAAAGAGTGTTTTTTCCTATCTTAAAGTAGGAAGATACTTAATCAAACACAAATCGGTTCTTTTCAGAACCACAATTTTTTTCCAAATAAATAACTAAGATAAGAAGAAACAATGCAAATAATTTGAGAGCACGTACTATTTTTGAAGTTAAGTCTAAACATAAATAAAATGGTATTTTATGTATCTAAGGCAAGAAGTAAGCTGTAATATACCGAGTACACATAAATATATAGCGAGCGAGGTATTTAATAGGCTTTACCGAAGTAGTTAGACTCAGAGAGACCGGAAAATTAAAATAAAGAAAGACTGAAACATTTTTCATTATTTACCTAAGTATTTTTCTATCATTAGTATTAACCTATACAGAGAAATGTGAATTCTCAATAAGGAAAAGAATTAAATAATGGTGACTTACTCAAGTTAGAAGTAAAAAATCATTTACTTGTACGTGCCCTTACTTTTCTGCTGCGGGAACGCAAAATTTATATTCAACCAATTTGGAATATACCGTAGATATACATTCATGTATATTACCGGAATATTTGTTTTGAACATACTAGGTATATTCACCTGCACATATACACAATATGTACATACCTGGCATGTTCATCTGCACATATACCCAATATGTACAACATACATGTACATACCTAGGATATCCTTTTATGAAGTTTGATGAATATACATGCATGTATATTCCACGAACATTCATGTTAGGAATGTTCACCCACCCAGGATATCCCCGCAATGTTCTGTATGTTTTTTAAACATTCTGGGATATGCATTATCAATATGTAAAAATTCGCTCTTATAATTCGTCTGTGCAAATTGTCAGTTGAATAATATAATAATAATAAAAAAATTAATCCGCCTCAACAATATAGAACGTATTTTCAATATAACTTATTATAATAACAGCTTGTAAATTTAGTTCAAATTTCAATTTTTATACCTATATTTTGATAAAACTTTCCGCTTATAGATTGTTACAAAAGAAGAAAAGTGTCTAAATTACACCTGGCTTGTAGTTATTGCAGTAAGTTGGCAAATTTTTATTCTTGGTACTATCTATTTCAATTTAAATTAATTTTCCCTTGCCAAAGATACCATTATGTGTAATTTTTTACATAAAATTTCAAATAAGTATATCAAAACCGGTTAGACTTAGGTATAGGATATTATATCCGAAATATATTTAGAATTTGGAGTTGAATTCAAAAATGTTAAAATATATAGGCAAGTTGATTACTACTACTAGTTACTACTACTACTACTACTAGTTATCGATAGCGGCAGTTCCCGGAAGGACACCTTGTATAATCCGGTATTGTCAAGCAGAAAGCTTTTCTTTTCTATTTTCGACCATAATTGTGGTTTGCATACTTTTTAAAAAATGTCACCC